ATGTAAAAGTTTTTTCTTTTAGGTGTGTATTTCCCTCGGGCGTTATGAGTATAGTATATACGAGTAATGAAAACTCACTAACCAGATCGCCGTGACAATGGTCAGTATGGCGATAATCTCATGCATACTTATGGGTCCCTTGTTTGATCCTTTCTGGAGTTGCTCAGCTTCTGCTCCCGCTCGCTGTTCCCTTCCCCTGTGCCATGCATCCCGTGTTCCCTCTGTGGCTGTAGTCTGGGCTTGGCGTACCGTAGTTTCTTCTCCTCGTCTGTATTTTCCTGGGTTTAGTGGACGGCAGCTGCCTTTAGTGTCCTGGTATATTGGTCCACTGGCTTGATATGCAGTTTTTTCTTGTCTGGTATCCTTGCAGTATCGAGGATTTTTTCGATTATATCTTCCTGTTCTCCTCTACTTTTCCAATTTCCCTCATATTGTGGCACTTGACACGCTGAATTTAGTGTCTGGCACTTTTGACACTTTTTTTTCTTTGGGACGAGAGATAAATTCTTTTTATTTCTTTTATTTATAACGTCACTTAAGTCGAGAAAAAAATTATTAAAAATTTTTTTTTTTTTTTTGTTCCGCGAGACTGAGTGACTTCTGCGCACGAAACAGAACGTAAAAAATTTTATCTGTATCCCACTTCTGACACCAGCTGTTACGTGGGATTCTCGGTGCGGGAATAAATAGAAGCATGACTTGTTGTTACTTCTGCTTTGTTAGAATAACTTATATTTTAGGGAAGTTGTGCGTGTCTTCTTGTCTCGCGGACTTCGTCCATACCCTCTCGCGTCTCTAGCTGATCTCCTTCTCCCTTCTTTTTCCCTTCCCTATCAACTGTCTTCTCTATTCCCCTACCTTTCAGGCCCAAGCCAGCAGAGGCGCACGCACGTATAGGTATGTGCTATCGTACGTAACAACATAGAATTTCTGTAAAAGTTTTTCATGCCAAATCTGTGATTTAGTTTTTTAACTGTCGTAGAGTATTTAAAAAATGTAGCTGACGTATTTTTACAACAGCTATTCATGCATGTGCCAATAGGTCTAAAGAAATAGTTTTTAACACTTTCAATTCTAAGAGGACTTTTTTACTTTACGAATGTGTCGTATAATAAATATACAAAGACATGTTAATAGATAAATTAAATTTACAAAAGGAATATTTGGATACTACAAAAATCATTTTTATAAATCACTCTTCAAGAAAGTAAAAAATATCACTCCACACACTCTTGTACAGAATATGAATACAACTTTACATCTATAAAAACAAATTTTTAAAACAACCTTTATTCTAAAGTGAGAGCTAATGCAAGTTTGATGTGTTCAGTATCCATCCAAGCAAGATTAAGACTATAAAAATAATAATCTAATAGAGTGATACAAGATATAAAAGTCTTTTAGTATCAAAAACCATAATAATATGGAGTGCCTTTCAAGATAGTTAAGTACCTAAGAAGGGGGGTACAAGAAAGAGGTCTGACTTCATACCTTTATTAGGTTAGAAACGTGGGTGCATGTCCCGTAATTTATTATAAAGTTGTTTTAATACTTGAGATCATTCATTAATAGTTTTCTCACACTTGCCTAATCGACTAGATTAATCTACTAATAATTTACTGTTAACTAAAGTTTCGTTCAAATCGAAGTGTTAATTATATTAAAATTTTTTATTGCAAGAGCTGCTTTTAAGGACCTCCCATAAACCAAATGTAAGATTTACAAAATTTGTTTTATTAATCTCTTATTTTAGAAATATATAGAGTTGTATGAATTTTGCACGATTTTTTTTATGCATGTTTGGAACTTTTTACGAATTTCAGTTCAAAAGTGACTCTCAACTGCTTAAGGTAGTCTACGTCCTTAAAAATGTATAATATTTCTAATGTTACTTATTAAAAAGTATTCAACGGAAACAGAAGATATTAACTGTAATGGAATCAAGAAAAATAGTTAATTTTTCTATTATGATCCTAAATTTACTTTACAATTATAGCAATACTTGTACAAAGTAAATGTGTTATTATAGAGACAACCATGTTAATATATTGCAAAATTATAAATTCTGTATAACTTGCCATACTGGCTTAACACTGTTTTTGATGACTGATTCAAATTCTAAGAAATTCTCTTTACTTCTTAAAATCGTTTATAAATTGTTGAATTGCTTAGGCTTGAATGTTTGAATTGTTGGTCTCCTAAGAAAAAAAAAAAAAGTAACAGTAGTTACCAATTACATGTATTTATGACCTAGTTTTGTAAAAACAAGAAGAAAAATGTACTGTATATTGCTTGAAGCATGCCTGCTTGGTACAAATATGAAAAAATACCTAAAGAGTATAAGAATTTTTTGTTGTAAAGAGGTTAATTGACTTAATAAAGAAAATAGTACTAACTCAGTTTGTGATTCTTTTAACTTGGAATATTAAAACACAGATTTTTTTTACATTTGCTTCTAAATGTTCCCTAAAAGCAATGTAGAGAAATAATATAGAGCCAGCGTGGAAAGTTAGAGTAATTTTTAAAAATAATATATTTGGTGGGTAGGAACTCTTCAATCTTGTAACAAACATGATTTTTTGTTATTATTTCTTTTACTATTATGATCTTCCATTTTTTAAATAATTTATTTAACTAACAAACATTAAAAATATTATACATTGAGATAGGGTTCTCGTTGCTTCTAGTTGCTTACGTCTCTAACCACCAACCTATTACAGTTAGAAATATTTCGACTGTGACTGTGCTTCCTAGGTACCTGCAGAAACACATTCACATTACAACGTGGACAGCGAGTTTGCTTTCCCTCACTTTCGTCTGCTTGATAACGGGCTAGCTCAGCTCTGATCTAACTGAAGATACACGTGTGACAATGATTACGTGCAAGCCCTCGGAGGTGGCAGGATAAGGCCAGTACTGTCTTACAACTTCTCACTGTACGACACGATCTCTCTATAAAACTGATAAATAAAGAATAGCCTGAAGGGCTTCACGCAGGAAAAGGCTTGCACGAAGAAGAACACAAATACTTGAGAGTCACAAGAGTTAAATCTATTAGTTGCACAGGTACAAAAGCACGCGTGTGTAAGCGTGTGTGTGTGTACGCATAAGTATTTTACTTAATTGCACTAACGACAAGGCACGTACGACCGGGGAAGACTTACCTCTCGGAGCTGACGGCACTCAATAATTCATTTGGGCAGAGAGAGCTTGTGTGGCCAATACGCTTTTTAGGCATTTACCGCGCTTACCTGGCTTTTCGTAGCCCCATGCTCACTTTCGTCAACAAGTGGTTTTTTTGGTCTATCAACAAAAACTTTTGGTCCAATATCTTGCTGATAAGTCGTTGTGTAATAGGTGTGGAAGGGCAGGTGTTGAGAAGGTGATGGTGACGCTGTCCTCTGGTGATTTGGTACATGCTTAGCAGGCAAGGAACCCAACATTTCACTGTACTAATACCTAATCTCTTTACATTTCATAGCCGATAGCGTCTCGTGCATATCAACACTTGTTTCACCTTTCTCTCTCCCTCTAACACATGTTATGATGTCGACCTCTCTCTCTCTCTGGCATTTATTCTTTGCGCAGTCTAGACGAGTGCAAACAGCGCTTAACTATACATTACCTGTTAGAACATTTTTAACAGTGCTTTTCAAAATTATCATGGTTTCTGCTTTTAAAATAACTCTTGTATCACAGACAACTATAATACATTATTATTTTCATTAGCCTTATTCATTTTTTTTTCAATGAATACCAAACCCATTAAACTCGCTTAATATTTCACTTTTAAATAAAAGTAGTTTTTTCATGGAGATTTTACTTTTTTTTAGACTTCTTAAATCAACTCATTATTATTATTATAAATTAAACATTAATGGTAATGGAATTTATCACCAGCTGATTTGTGCAGCTGGCAGACAAAGTTTAGCAGTAACGAAAAATTTTCTTATCTATCTGCGCCACCATAAGAAAAGCCTGCACGTACTAAAAATTTTCTGTGACAGTGCATGATCATTACCTTGCTAGTGCTAACCTTCTTAGAAAAATTATTTTCAAGGCTGCTTTAGAGCCCAGTGCGCCATGTAGACTGAAGTGCTACAGTAGCTGCGTTATCTATCACTGGGCCTGGTTACCTTGCCGTTGGCTCTGCAAAAAAAGTGCTGCATGGACATATACAAAAACACTTACACATACACACACACACTTTTGTACCCACCAGATAAATACAGTTTCTGTTTTTGAAGACAAGTGAACGCATATGTTCTGCATTACGTAAGCCTCGTCCTGCATAAGGCCCTTTCAGCTTGTCTTTATTAACAGGCTTCAATAGCTTAAGAAAGTAGTTGTATCAGTAAAGAAAAAATTATAAGAAAAGCATCAGTCTAATTAAGCTATTTTAATGATCTAGCATGTGAACACTAATGCGTGAAGGTCCTAAGTGAACTGAGAGCTAAGCTGACCACTTAACGAAAAAACATAATAAAAAAAAGAGACCTGCTGTCCAAGTTATAGCCTAAGGGTGTTGCTGCGACTACTCAGAAAACATTGTCCTAATCTTAACACATTTAGGAGAGATAAAAAGCTATTGAAGAGATTAATAAAAGCTGATTCTCCATTAACACGTTCACTAACAATAAAATATCAAATTTATTTTAAAACATTCCCAACTCATAAATTACAAGCACATAATATATACACAAAGCTTATTAAGTACTCATGGTTGGATGGAAAATAGATGCTTCAGCAATAAAATATTCTTTCCCTTCCTCCATATAAATACTGTTATATATGTGCACAAAAAAATACTATAAGTGTACTAAAGTAATAACATACCAGCCAATTTACAGGAAAAAAATGTTTACTTTAGCTCTGTAGAAGGTTGCAATAACTACTTACATTGAACTAGGTCTCACCCAGTAAGTTCTTTCGTAAGTAATACAAAAATACGTTCTCTGTTATAAAAACTGAGAAAACAAACAATATTTTAAGTTACTTACTCATCGAGCTTATACAGAGTATGTGAAACCTTTTGAATAACAGTAATCCCAAGCTCTAAGCACATACTTTTAATGTTTTCATCTCTGACTTTTCCATAAGGCTCTGGATCCTCTTCGAAAGTCAAGCAAGTAGTTCCCCACTCCTTCAGAAGCCTTGGCAAGACATCTGCTGGCTGACCTCTAATGACAAACATCCGTGAATTAAATTTCTGTAGTGAACGGTCTAAGTCTTCTAAACATTGCAGCAAAAACCTAAAAAAAAAAAAAGTATTATCACTAATTTCACGGCTCCAAGTAAGGGTAATGTAATTATCATCGTAATCATCATCATCATCATCATCATCATCACCATCATCATCATCATCATCATCATCACCATCATCATCATCATCATCATCATCATCATTATCATTATCATCATCATCATCATCATCATCATCATCTTCATCATCATCATTATCATAATTATCGTCAACATCGTCGTTCTCATTTTTATTGTAAACGTCATCATCATCATCTTTATTATTATCATTTTTATCATTCAAATCATCATTATTGTTATATAACGTTTAATGTCATTTGAATTTGTTTTCAGCTTCAAATCAAAAACTTAAAACTGTGAACTACAGTCTCACGCTCCTTAACAGGCTGCGAGACAGCAGATAGTCCAACCATTTGTTTGTTTAAGAAAAATTAAAAGGAACAAAGAAGTAGAGTGTTGAATTTAATATCCAGATTAACTTACCTTTTTTTCCGCTAATTATTAATTTGGATGATCTGCACTTCCTCTTTCCGTCGATTTATAATTATTTATTTTAATACTTTTTTATTTGTTATTTATTATTTTATAATAATTTTAATTCCTTTTCCAATTAGTCTTATGTCACTAGTATACATATAAAAGAAAACAGAAAAGAAAAAATTAGACGGAACGTCTGGTTAATCTTATGAAATTTGTTATTACGTCTGCACTTAATGAGCGGCAGCGGGCTACTAACTAAAACGCCGCGCAAAAAAATGCACCTTGCACGAAGTTTTAGTTAAAACTTCTTCATCTTACTTGCTATGGGGCTGGTACTTGCTGACTTCATGTGTTTAGGCTTCATGACTCACTTCGGTTGTCACTTGACACTTCCAAGAACCACGAAGTACACAGTCAGCTTTGTCAGGCGACGACTCTCGTTGAGTATGGCTCTGTAAACAGTTTTAAAATTTTATCATTGGGAATGTAATATAACACGATAATTCAGAATAAAAATGAAAATTTATTAATTTACCCAAGTCGTCACCTAACAGATTCCCCTTCTTAAAACTATCATGAATATATTATATTATATTATTTTATTGGTTTTTTTTTTTTTTTTTGCTATATTTTCTTCTTATAAGTAAACATTTGTGTTACTACTATATACCAAATTACTAGTCTATTAAGTGCATCAAGATTTGCTGACACTCCCATCTCAAGGCATAGTTTATAGTGCCAGTCGTATTTTATCGAGTTGTTATTTTTCTGGTATGATGGGCAGATCTTTTTTAATTTCATTTGTGTTTTGCAAAGAAGACTGTGCACTTTAAGGTGGCATTTGGATATTTAATTTCTACACGATGAATGTGTAACTATTTCACGTTTTTGCGAGTCTTTTTTGGAGTAATTCGCCCCATACATTCTGAGTCCTTTGAGGGCCCTTTCCGTAGATTCTTCGTTACAGTATGTAGCGAAGCTAAAGTATAACTGTCTTCCATCGTCGCGTATGACATCTAACGGGTAGTAGTTTAAATAGCTCAAAGGGCCAAAGGTAATTAACAACCAGGTATATTTATTTGGATTTATAATGGCTGGTACCTTAGATACTTCTTTTCGCAGAAGAAAGTCATTGTCTTTTGGATCGTTATTTATTTTGATCGTGTTTTCTGTTTTTGGGTTTTTTGTGATTACATTTTTGGGCTGCTGAGTTATGCCATACACTACTATCTGGCGCATGTTTTCTACCCACTTAGCAGATCCATACGTTATATGAACGGGTATAATATCTTCCCGTGTTTGTTTTTTGGTTGAAAAATGAATATCTTTTATTGGATATTTGTTTTCGAAAAATTCAGTAATATTGTTTGTGTTAATAGGTTTTTTTTAAATGACGCTTATTTTAGTCCCGGTACGATTTACTCTTACAAATCGTAGTATTGGACTAAGCTCTTCTTCATTAACTTTTTTAAGGGTTTTGACTTCCGTCATTGACTCTACATTCTTAGTTGGTGCTTCGATGTTTCGTGAAGATGATTTGTCTTCTATTTCAATGATTGTTGTGTCATTGAAGATTGCTGCAGCAACTGCTGCATCACATAGTTGGTAATATTTGGCCTCGTAGCTGGTGTATGGGGCCAAACATGGCTGTTCTTTTAATGATAACATCGGACCAAATTTGTTAAGCGATGTTTCCAATTGGCGCTTATCAATTGGTTCTTCGGTCATTATGTTTAACCAACGTCCATTTTCCGATATATTGTGGACCTTGACTTGTCTTTTATTTGGCAAGGGGACAGGTGCCGTTGACTTTGCCCAATTTCTCTCGTCCGATACATTCAACAATGAGTTGAATAGCTCCTGTAGCGTTGGCGCTGCATTTAGGTTATCAGCCGCAAACGCTGCCTCCCGTGGTGGAAGAAATGCCACTTCGTAACTTGAGTACCCCATAGCACAGGGTTCCCGTTCGATGGACCTCACTATCCCGAAGTTTGCCAGAATTTTTTTGAGCATTAGCCTACTATAATCTCCCTGCAGCAGTATGCTAAGCTGGGATCCATCAGCCATTGCTTCTGTGATATAAGCATTTTGTTTGTCCATTGTGTGTGTAATTCTGCAAGCGTAAATATAATAGATGTTGTAAGGATCATCAATTGATACTATACATGTATGAGTGCTCTTGTAGTGTACTTTGTGTTGTTATTGTTCGTAATTGATGTATGGAATGCAGATATGAGATTAAAATAAGGTTTATGAAACTATTGGATTATGGGGAGGGAATAAATAGATAAATACAATTATTACTCATCATGCTATGCCAAAATATTTGCGTATTTATGATACAATTAAATAAGTCGTTTTGATACATGCTAAAGCTTAATATTACAAAAGAGAAGAAAAAAAAAATTTTGACAATAGAGTAACATGCAGCTAAAATAGAATACAACATGTGCTTTTACATTTAAAGCCTAATTATTATTATTTTTATGATTATTATATTTATTTATGTTTGTATTTATATATACACATTTTATTTTATTTTTTATTTTTCATTTTTTTTTTTAACTAATAATAAACTTACTTTATATAAATCCTAAAGATAAAATTAAACAATAAAGTGAAGTTAAGAAGAAGGAATACGTGAAAGGGAAAATTAATTTTACAAAGCTTAAGGTTAAAATCTTAGAACTAAGTGATGTGTATTCGACGTAGAAGGTGGCTAGTGAAATGGTAGGGTTCAATTATTGGGTTCATTTTCTGCTACTTTTGATCTTTTCTCGTAGATCAATGATTTTGGTAAGGATTGACTTCGGTGTACAGCGTTGTCTTCTGCATGTAATCACATGTCTGTGGTAGGTCATTAACTCAACATGTTGTTGACATATTTGGTGAGTCAATTTTCGGTTCATTTTGTATTTTGAACTCCTTTTAATTGGTTCAGCGTATTTCGTGCGATGTTCGGGCTCATCGTTCTGCAATGCTAAAAAAGCGCTTTTAGGATCCATGTATTTTACATATCCTTGAGATAATCTTCCCTGCCGATCTATAACAGCAAAACAATATTTTAGGGTGCGAAATTGAGAGAAATGATCAAAGAAATCTCTTTCCCTTTTCGTTTCTTCTATATCCCATGGCAGAAGACACATAAGTCTTTTTTGGATCAATGTTTGGTGTATCATTGTCGATTCTTGATGGTGTTGGTGAAGAGATATTTTCTGCTTGACAAATAGTAGATTTCATCTTAAAAGGAGAAAGTGTTCGAACTTCTTCTCCTGTATTTAGTGTTCTATCAGTTACTTTAGTAAATGAATCACTATTGTATTTAGCGGTTATAGTTCGATGTTCATAACTATGTAAACCCGTAAGTATGTGCATTTCCTTAATATTTCCTTTATTTTCTAATTGTTCGATAACTTCATGTAAGGATTGGTTTATGTTGACTCTAGTCCTAATTGTTATTCCATATTCGGGGTTTATTGTTCTACCTGGAAGAAAAAAAGTATCAAATTAATATTGATTTGTGAGTCCATTTCCAGTTTTTGGGGTGAATGGCGTGGGGGTATTAAACTCTGTATCTTCATTATAGGTCTAGCTTTAGATGATTTAGGTATTTTTTGTTTTTCTTTGATTCCAACATACAGTTCAGTTGGTTCTTGTTTTATGGTTACTCGGGGTTCTGCATTCAGTGGGTTAATGGTACGTTTTATAGATTTTTCCAAGACACTACGTTTCATAATTTTCTTGAAACAGCCTCTTGCTTTGCTAATGAGTATTGCTATTATAATCATAATAATAATAGCTTCAATGACATTTCATATTAAAGAAAAAAGAGAAGTTTGTTTTTCCTCCAACTTTTGGGTCCGTATTTTTTCCATTTAGTTTATTATATTTTGTACATTTACTTCTTCATCAGTCCATGCTTGTGCATTAAAGTTTAATTATCGAATCGATTTTATAGCGTCATGGAAGTCATCAGTGTCTTTAAAGGGTTCATGTAGTACTGTTAAGTTTATGTTCACTTCTACTTGATAGATATATTGTATTTAAGTGATAATCTTATGTTCACTGGTTAAGATTAATCCGTAAGTTTTTTTCTTACATCCATCATTCATTCGTAGAAGACCTATACCTTTTACTCTTTCATGTTGCTTCATTCTATTAGAACAGATAATGTTAATTGTTCTTCATTGGGTGTTGAGAATAACCATGAATTATCAGCTGGTAAATAAATTTATTGGCTCTCGGTTTTCAGCGTAAACATAATTTCACAGTATTTAAATACTTCTGGTCCAGGTCGTAATAACATAAGAATTTCACATTCGTTTATAGAATAGGGTTCCATCAGTGGTTCCATAGCCGAGCATATATAACCATATACTGTCTTATCACATTGGTTAAACGTAACTTCGTTTAGTCGTGAATACTAATAATGGTCTGCTGCTACTGATAAGTTAGGGTACGACGGTTTTATGTAGGCAGATCCATTTTGTCCAGATTAGAGTATCATGAC